TTCTGTTAGCTCTCCTAGCCACTTGTTTGAGCTATGATGTTGAACTGAGGCAAAAAGCCTCCCAGGGAGTTTTTACATCAAAGATTGTTTCAATTTAAATAATGGGGATTTTGTACTATTTTACATCATCTTCTCCTCTCCTGAGCCCACCAGCATCTGTGGCTTACAAACAAGGTAGAAAATGTATGAAGATATCCAGCCTTATTTACCAAAGTCTTCTGGCTGGCCCAATTCCACATCTAGGTAGCTGCCTTCCACTGCGATCTGTGACACTTATTTCATAGCTCCTTAAGTCCTGGCTGCAGCTCATCTGGTAGTAAGTTCCAAATTGGCCAAAGCTTTCCTGGCCTCCCGCATTTCATGGAAAACCTTTCGGTAATCTCAATCCAATCTGCCATTCCAGACTAGGAGAATTGAAGATGGCTTGGACTTCCGCAGTCTGTCCAGACCTAGTAGCTGTTGCTCCAGATTTCCATCTCTACCTGCAAGTTCTCTCTCAGCTCTTTTGGAAAATTGCCACATACTACTTAAACTCCTTTAGCAAAGTGTTCAGCCTTTTTTTGGGGGGGGGGGGGGGGGGGGGGGGAGGGAGAGGAGGAGGGTTAAGTTTCCAGTTCATGTTTAACTTCCTTTTGGCCATCTGATTTCTGCTACCACTGCCATTATTTGTTCCATTTTGGTTCAATGGGGATATCAGCTCACAGTTTCTCTCCTAGGAAACTGGATCCCAATCCTGCATCAGTGTGACCCCTTTTAAACTGAATGCTTAGCCAGTTTTTGGAATCTTGTACATTTTTTTCTATTAGGAGAAGAAATTGATGGAACCAGGTATTTCTTTGTAAATAAACAAGATTGCATTATCCCTTTCCCCTAAACACAACAAGAATCAAAGAGAAGGAGACAGTTTCTTTGCTCACAGTTCCAAGCCTCTTTTCTGCCAGCACTTTACCCCCCACCCCCAAAAAATGCTCTACTTTGTCAGGGTCTCACTACCAGGGCTTCTCTGCCCCCGGTGCTTGTGGTGTTTCTCTGACACACACACACACACACACACACACACACACACACACCTGCAATAAAAAATGAATCCTCAGCAAAACCCCACCACCCAAATAGCTTGACTTCTGACCATTCCTGCATGGCCTCTGTTTTGAGCCGTGGCTCCTACTATAAAGGAGTTTGATTGTTTCTTACATTTATCCTGAATGGGGGTGATTATGCCCACCAGCTTCAATGAGGTTTAAACCAACATAACTGTATATTTGAGATTGTGAGGCACTCAAATACTAGATAATGGGGGCCATAATTACAGTTCAGCTGGTCAGATTAAACTAAACAGGCTCAAAGGCAGGATAAGGGGACAGGATAGTGGCATTAAACAAAACAAAACAAAAAATGTATGACCAGTAAAAAGAAGGAAATCTGGGTGCGCCTGTTACCATTCTCAAAATGCAAGAACACCACAACAAGTTTAAAGAGTGGAACTCATTACCACGACATATTATCACAAGATGCCAATGGCCTAGTAAAAGTCGAGAGGATTACAAAAGTATATGGACAATGAGAACATCCAGTCACATAAGTTAAGGGATTCTACAATGGTATAGTCTCATACTTAGGGCATAAAGCACCCAGAGTTGGGGGTTACCAGGAAGCTTTCCCTGTTAGAGAGTTACTCCATAATTGTAAATAGGAGACTTGTTTGCCCCTTCCTCACCCATCTGTTATTGGCCATTGCTCATTCATGATAGTAGACTAGATAATCTAGTGGTCTGACTCAGCATGGCAATTCTGTGTTCTTATGGATGAAACCAGAGGAGCCATATGCAAATCTGGGAGCCACTGAGCAGTTCTCATGTATATTCTTGTTCCCAAAAGCAAATTAAAGTCTCTCTCCTGGCACCAGTCCCTGGTCTTTCAAGGGTTAAGTTTGGCATCAGAAATCCATGTGAATATTTTCAACATGGAAAAAAGACCCAAAAAGGTAAGTGAGGCAGAAGAAAAATTGGAGGGTTGTTCCAGATCAGTAGACAGTCACTCTATGGGAAGACCAATTAACAGTCAAAATAAAATTGGCCTTCATGGAGTGACTCTCTGCCAATCCAGAGAGAGCTGTGGGGAAGTAGCAAGCAGGAGAAGAACAGAGGGAGGGATAGCCCAGTCAAAGCAACTGGAATTATAGAAAGCCAACATATTAAACATTGATACCACGGACCCAGAGACTGAAAAAAAACCTTTATGGTTCTCTCCACAAGTTTTTGTTCTTCTCAGCCCACAGATTCCAGAAGGTAATAAGTTTAAAACAAACTCAAAAATACCCAAACTAATGTAGGTTTTGGGATTTTTTTTTTTTTTTTGGACAGCCATCTTGACCAAACTAACTTGGACATTTATGGGTAAGGTCAAAATGAATGTGTTTTAATATCTTATTTTACGCACGTACACACACACAGTCTATTTGCAATTATACCATGACTTGTATTTTAAACTATTATGAGAATTAAGCATAAGAAAAGATTTAAGTGACCTAGTCCAAGCAAACTTTGTAAAGTTAAAATCCAAATGAGTTAGCAGAATTTGATAGAGATATGCACTATAGTCCCAAAGATGATGTGCTGTTTGCCCGTAACTGTAGCCTTTTTATGATATCAGAGAAAAACATCTGGGTTTTGATGTTGCAATTAAAAAGTACTCCCAAAGTCTGTGCTACACTAGGGCTCCCCTGCAGCTCAACCAGTAGTCACACAGGTGAGCATATCCAAAAAGATGCTCCTTCAGATATGGAGCGGACGTAGAAGGAATCTGTAAATTTCCAGAAACATCTATTCTTGCTCCACTCATCAATTCACCCTCAAACAATACACAGGCACACTTGCAAATCTTAATAGATTATTAAACATGGCACCTTCAAAGAGCATGGATATCAAATCAACTTCTAATCAATTAAAATAATTTTACATTAAAAGTAGTAGTTCTAGCTTTCAATTAGTTTCCATTCTCTGTTTATCCCTGCTAACAAAGATGAAAAATGATTCTTTACTGATACTGTCCTTTTTCATTTAGCAGACACCCCTGTGTGCGTGCACGCACACACACACACACACACACACACACACACACACACTAAAAGGAATTCAACACATTTTAAGTATCATTTACATAGATACTGAGACCAAGATGTGATCCTATGTTTTTGAATAAGCACAGTTTTGGAAATAGCATTCATTCATTAACTGCTGCTGGAATGCCAAGAGTGGAATACAGGACTGTGTAGGAACATAGTGGCTCTTTCCAGACTCATTTGAAAACAAAAGAGAAACGAGTTATATATGTCATGAAGCGCATAACACTCTGTAAACTTTCAAACATTTAACTTGACAGTCAGTACAGTTTTCAATAACTTCAGAATTTCAAGTTTTGGAAGTCATTTCAACATGAAGAGCAAATCCTACTTCCTTTTTACCTAGATGAGAAGCCTCAACCCTTACATGAGCATAGCACCTCTGAGGATTAAAGGGTAATTCCGTCTCCATGCTCACAGTCAAACACTGGCCTCCCCTGCTGGAACTGCCAAAAAGGTATGGAAATGTCACCTGCTTATTTGAACTATATTGAAATAGAGCAGACTCTCATTTCATACAGATACTGGATACGAATAATTTTTTTCCCTACTGTCCTGGCTGAAATTTGAACTAGTGATTTTTAAAAAAAATTTCTCAGTAGCAGATTAGCACAGAATTTTTATTTTGAAATGTTATCTTGAGAAACACTTCTACACAAGAGTGGTACGTTTGTTTTAAAAGTTCAGTGTATTTCTGATCAATTTATAGAAGGGATTAGTACAGTTGTTCCCACCAACAAAACAGTTAAATATATTTAATGCAACAGAAGGCTCAGGTGAGTTCCAATATCATCAGGTACCTTATTCTTCTAGAAGTACAAATGGAAAAAGTGATCCATATCATAAAGACATCACCCCAACAGGATTGCCTGTGAGGTTAGAGAGGCTAAGACTAAATGAGCCTATAGACCACTACTCTCATCCCCTAGAAATGATCTTCCTTCAAGTCGGAGCAGAGACATTGATAAGTGCTTGAGTAGAAATTCTGCATTATTGCCCTCCATGCCAAACCTATTCTATACATAAAGAGACATTCCCAGGATTGTCAACACACCACCTTTCACAAGTAGCAAGTTCTCTAAAATATATTAAGTGATACTGGAGAGACAGTGCTCCTGAGAATGTGCTCTCACAGCAACAACTGATCAAACAATCATTTTTAAAATTTAGTTGTGTTGCTATTTACACCATCAGAATTCAGAAGTGCAATCTATTTTCTAATAAAGATGTTGTCTGCCTTGATGTTATTTGGTAATGTTTCTGAATGCGGAGTCAAATGAAAAATTAATCAGGAGATTCAGACATAATAGCATCACTAACTCATCTAGCGCCTTCCCCTAGCAAAAAGGGAAAAAATATTAACCCTTAATCATATGAAACACTAAAAGTAATTATGGAAGATTTATTCCAAATTACTCCTATGCAAACCTGTAAAAAAGTGACCTCTCTTACTCATTTCTCATATAGACATTCATATATCACATCTGAAAGTTTTCAACTACAGATTTTACTAGAGTTTAAAGATTTAGGCCATATCTACACTACAGCTGTTAAGCGGCATAGCTACAGCTGCATTATTATAACACCATAGTATAGACACTTCCTATATTAACTGAAGGGGTCTCCTCCTCTCCCCCCCACTGATATAGTTAACTCACCTCTCCGAGAGGCAGTAGCTAGGTTGACCAAATAATTTTTCCATCCATCTAGTAGCATCTGCACTGGGAGTTAGGTCAACCTAACTACAGTGCTCAAGGTGCAAATTTTTTTCACAGATGAGAGACATAGCTAGGTTGATCTAGGTTAAGTTTAGACCAAGCCTGAGTCACATGAAGCAAGACTTTCATCAACAGATTTACAAGTATTTGAAATAAATTACCTGACCCAGAGCCAGAAGTAGTCATATCATAAATTAAATCTTTTAAAGTAGTTCCTTCTGATATAAAAGGGCGATCCAATGAGGGATCTTCTTCACTTGGTACACGATGATGAATGACAGTACGATTATGGCAGATATACAGAATCAACATTAGTGAAATGCAAACAAAACAGACTGGTCCAGCAATGATAGCTGCCAATTCCACAGGTCCCAGATTAGAAGAGGATTCTCCGGAAGTAGGGACTAAAAATGGAGGTAAAAGAAAGAAAAGTAATGTTACTATTTTGTAACAGCAAATATGTTTTTAAACAAAGGATTCATTTTTTAGTATTTGTGGCAGTATATTGCATCAGATAATGGTCTTTGAAGAATTCTTTTAATGCATTTTGTTTCAGTAAAACAACACTGAGTCTTAACTCAGCTCTTTAAGAGTCATTGGTATATATTATGGAGACTGAAGCTACATACATCGAAGTACAGGGCAGTTAGAAAGATTTAAACACACATTTGATGCAAGCCATGAAGCATGATGATACAAGAGACTTAAGTACTTCTGTACTTAGTGGTTTATTTCTTGAAAATAATATTTAGGAAGTCTGATGGATGCTCTGGTCTGCCCTCATAGAATCAGAATCGTAGTTCTGGAAGGGACCTTAAGAGGTCATCTAGTCCAGCCCCTCGTACTCACAGCAGGACTGAAGTATTATCTAAACCATCCCTGACAGCTCTTAAAAATCTCCACCTTCCTAGGTAAGTTATTCTATTCCAGTGCTTAACTAAACCACCCTTCCAGCAATTTAAGCCCATTGCTTCTTGTCCTATCCTCAGAGGTTAAGGAGAACAATTTTTCTCTCTCCTCCTTTTTAACAATCTTTTATGTCCCCTCTCAGTCTTTTCTTCTCCAGACTAAACAAACCCATTTCCCCCCCTCCCCCAAATCTTCCCATATTGGTCATATTTTCTAGACCTTTAATCATTTGTATTGCTTTTCTCTGGACGTTCTCCAATTTGGCCACATCTTTAATGAAATAGGGTGTCCAGAACTGGACACAATACTCCAGTTGAGGCCTAATCAGCGCGGAGTAGAGCGGAAGCATTACTTCTCATGTCTTGCTTACAACACTCCTGCTACTATATCCCAGAACGATGTTTGCTTTTTTGCAACAGCGTTACACTGTTGATTCATTTAGTTTGTGATCCACTATGATCCCCCAGATCCTTTCTGCAGTACTCCTCCTTAGGCAGTCATTTCCCATTTTGTGTGTGCATGCAATTGATTATTCATTCCTAAGTGAAGTACTTTGCATTTGCACCTATTAAATTTCATTCTATTTACTTCAATTTCTCCAGATCATTTTGAATTTTAATCTTATCCTCCAAAGCACTTGCAACCTCTCCCAGCTTGGTATCATCTGTAAACTTTATAAGTGTACTCTAATTGAGGAAGATATTGAACAGAATGAGACCCAGAACTGATCTCTGCGGGACCCCACTTGATATGCCCTTCCAGCTAAACTCTGAACCACTGATGATTACTCTCTGGGAACATTTTTCAAACCAGTTAAGCACCCACCTTATAGTAACTCCATCTAGATCGTATTTTCCTACTTTGTTATGAGAAGGTCATACCAGAGCCTTACTAAAGTCAAGAGATCTCACATCTACCACTTCCCTTCCCCATCCACAAGGCTTGTTACCCCTGTCAAAAAAAAGCTAGCAGGTTGGCTTAACACCATTTGTTCTTGACAAATCCATGCTGTTACTTATCACCTTATCTTCTAGGTGTTTGCAAACTGATTGCTCCATTATCTTCCAGGTACTGAAGTTAAGCTGACTGGTCTGTAACTCCCCAGTTGTCCTTATTTCCCTTTTTATAGATGGGCACTGTATTTTCTCTTTTTCAGTCCTCTGGAATATCTCCCGCCTTCCATGACTTTTCAAAGATAAATCGCTAGTGGCTCAGATATCTCCTCAGTCAGCTCCTTCAACATTCTAGGGTGCATTTCATCAGGCCCTGGTGACTTTAAGACATTTAACTTGTCTAAGTAATTTTTAACTTGTTTTTTCCCTATTTCAGCCTCTGATCCTACCTCATTTTCACTGGCATTCACTATGTTAGACATTCAATTGCTACTAACCTTTTTGGTGATAAACAAAAAGTCATTTAGCACTTCTGCCATTTCCACATTTCTGTTATTGTTTTCCCTCCCTCATGTTTACTTGTACTCAGTTTAGCTTCCTTAACCTTTATAATGAGCTTCATTGATTTTGTTGGGGAATTACTTTAAAAACCAAAAATCTTTACCTGGCGTTGGAATTTGAAGTTCTCCTTTATTGCAGTAGTCTGTGACACAGCAGTAAGGCCTAGTAACAACTCCATTCTTTGATGAGAGGGCACAAACAAATGGCCTGTCTCGTGGAATCAGATCCACTTCTGCTATGCACATACTATTGTGTATTACTCGGTCTTGAGCCCGTGTTACTGAGGCAAAGCAGAGCCCATCCGTCACGCATGTAAAGTTGTCTTTTGTACAAAGATGGCAAAAACACTGTAATGCTGTATTAAAAGAAAAGAGGTTGCAATAGTTATGTTAAGCAACGTTAGAACTATGAAACTGTCAAAAACTAAGTGGCAGAAACATTTTCCCCGATGCCACTTTTCGACGCTATGTACTGCATCATAACACAAAATTCAAATATGATGCCTCTTAATAGGCTAACAAAATAAGGGAGCGGGAAAGAGGATTATAATAGGAAGCTTGTTCATCTATACATAGTCAAAGTTGAAGCAATCTCCACACACACATCCCCACCCCCAAACAAAATAACCACACCACAGATACATTCAGGTCATGGGTGTTGGAAGTTTACTAAAAAAATAGAAAGGTGAACTATTTTGAAGTTTACTGTAACGTCTACTACAACAATGCATCACCTAACGCATTAAGAACCCAATCCTGTTGCTTCTGAAGTCAACAGGAGTTTTGCATTTGTTTCAATGGAAACAAATGCACATCATTAGTGTGGAAGATCCACCACGCAATGTTAGCCACATGTCATGCATTAAACCAACACTGTATTTCCCAACAGTTTAAAGAACTTTAGCCCTTGGGTGGGGAGCATATAAAGGCCTTATCCAATTCCCATTTAACTCAATGGGATCACTCCTTTTGACTTTAATGGGAGTTAGATTGGGTCCTCGCTGTGAGGCTACAGAAGGAAACTTCCATATCTAGAGTACAGGCACTACAACGGCACACCTATAGTGCTATAGTTATGCTACTATAGCACCAGTAGTGTAGACAAAAGCCCTTTCCCCCCCCCATGTAGTGGTCGATAGTTTGACTGAAGCATATGTACACACCTGGGGTTAGGTTGGCATAACTAGGGCACTCAGGGCTGTGAAATTTTCAAGAGCCTTCAGAAGAAAGCCTACTATGTTTATGCATAGAAGGGCTATAAAGGGAAAAAAATGCTATTGACCAAAAGACAGCCAGCTAAAGGAGAATTCAGTATCAACATCCCTCTCCCATCTATTTCTTGGGAGCGTATGAGAGAGAGAGCGTGCCCAAGTGAGCGCGCATGCACGCTACAGGTTCAAGTTTGTGCCTCGGATAACATTTCTCTTTAGGTCCTCCCAGGATCTTGCCAAGGAACTCCAGCAAAAAGAGGTCCATGAGGAATTACTATTTCAAAAGTAAAAAAAAGTTTAAGTTTGATGCCATCTGTATAAAAAGACACAGTGAAGGACAAAAACAAAGGATCTTTGCTTGCGAGCACACCTTTAATGAAACATGCAGTTGTCTCAATTACATCAGTTAGTACAAGTGAAAGCTTAAAACATTCATGGACAAAATCCAAAGGGTAGAAGACACACCAAGTAGTAATGAAGAGCAGGGATAACAAGAGGTGATAGACAACTAGAAAAAACTGAAGCACTGTGCCTTGAAGTACACACACCTCTACCTCGATAGAATGCTGTCCTCGGGAGCCAAAAAAAAAAAAAAAAAAAAAAATCTTACCATGTAATAGGTAAAACCGCGTTATATTGATCTTGCTTTGATACACCCGAGTACGCAGCCCCATCCCCCCCGGAGCACTGCTTTACCACGTTATATCCGAATTCGTGTTATATCAGGTCGCGTTATATCGAGGTAGCGGTGTATTCCTCACTTCTCTTCAAATGGTACACTCGCAATGTTTAGTTCTGAAGTGTAAAGTATGAAAGAATTAAAGTAAATGTATTACAAATTACGGGACTGGAGAGATTGATCATTCAAGATGAGAATAACTAGGGACCCAATCCGATCCTCTGCCCATGGATCTCATCCCACCTACATGGAGGGATGCTGGATGCTTCCATGGCAGTGTTCCCATCTTCCCCTGAACAGCATAAAGAACTTTGGGTGGTAGGGGAAGATGAAAGGACAATTAGATGGAGCAGTGTTCCCTTCTCTCCCTGCCTCTCCCTCCCTCAAGCCCTAGAGATTTTAAAGGAATGGTAATACAGAGTCTGGGCATTATCTTTTCCACCAAACTTCTTCCAAAGGTAGGGAATCCCGCTTTAAAGGGAGTCTCATGTGCAGCCATGGAAAAGGGAGGCCCTATGGTACGAAAGAGGGGAATCTGAGGATGCCCTGAAATCCATGGGGGTTAGCCCTGCAGGTCAATCCAAGGGAAGGCTTACAGTATGGCAAGAATTCTGTTCAGATTGAGAAACAGGGCCGCCCAGAGGATTCAAGGGGCCTAGGGCAAAGCAATTTCAGGGGCCCCTTCCACAAAAAAAGTTGCAATACTGTATTCTCATGGGGGCCCCTGCGGGGCCCAGGGGAAATTGCCCCACTTGCCTCACCCCCCCCGGGCAGCCCTGGGAAAAATAAACATTTAAAAACCTTCCGCATCTCGGCATTCTCAGCATCAGCTAGTGCTAAAAGGCACGGAAGCTCATTAAAAGGGTTGGACAAATTTTCCGTCAAAACTTTTTTTGGATTGAAAAGAAACGGTTACTCACCTTCTTGTAACGGTTGTTCTTCGAGATGTGTTGTTCATGTCCATTCCAAGCAGGTGTGTGCGCGCCGCGTGCACGCCAGCTGGAAGATTTTACTATAGCAGCGTCCATAGGGTCGGCTCCGGCACCCCCTGGAGGGGCGCCCTCATGGCGCTGTATATAGGGGCCAGCCGACCCCCCACCCCAGTTCCTTCTTGCCGATACTCCGACAGAGGGGTAGGAGGGTGGGTATTGGAATGGACATGAACACCACATCTCGAAGAACAACCGTTACAAGAAGGTGAGTAACCGTTTCTTCTTCTTCTTCGAGTGATTGTTCATATGTCTATTCCAAGCAGGTGACTCACAAGCCCAAGTCTAGGTGGTGGGGTCGGAGGTCACTGCAGACTGGAGGACTGCATGGCCAAATGCAGCATCCTCTCTGGCTTGCTGCGTGATGGCGTAGTGCGCCGTAAAAGATGTGGATTGAGGACCAGGTGGCCGCTCTACAAATTTCCTGCGTCGGGACGTGGGCCAGGACCACGGCTGAAGAGGCCTGCGCTCTTGTGGAGTGGGCCGTGATAGGCGGGGCTGGTATATTGGCCCGACTGTAGCACTCCTGGATGCAGGTTCTGATCCAAGCCGAGATGCGCTGTGACGTGACCGGGAGCCCTTTCCTACTGTCGGCCACGGTGACGAAAAGTTGGGTCGACTTCCTGAAGGATCTCGTCCTTTCGATATAGAACGCGAGAGCCCTGCGAACGTCCAGAGAATGCAGCCTGCGCTCCTTAGCCGAGGAGTGCGGTTTGGGATAAAACACAGGGAGAAAAATGTCGACCCATGTGAAATGTGGAAACCACCTTAGGCAGGAACGCTGGGTGCGGCCTGAGTTGGACCTTGTCCTTGTGGACGACGGTGTATGGAGGTTCAGATGTTAGAGCTCTGAGTTCCGATACTCTCTGGGCTGATATGATAGCCACCAAGAACACGACCTTATATGAGAGGTATAACAGCGAGCATGAAGCCAGCGGCTCGAATGGGGGCCCCCCGTGAGGAGAGACAGGACCAAATTGAGGTCCCAAGCAGGGACAGGTTGACGGATGTGCGGGAACAATCTGTCAAGGCCCTTAAGGAATCGTCCAACGAGTGGGTTCGCAAACACTGAGGTCCCCCCGTCTCCAGGGTGGAACGCGGAGATTGCAGCAAGATGTACTCGAACCGACAAGAGAGTTAGTCCCAGATGTCTCAGATGTAGCAAATAGTCCAATATGAGAGGGACCGGGGCGAGCAAGGGGGCCTGACCCCATTGTGTAGCCCAGAGGGAGAAGCGCTTCCACTTGGCCAAGTAAGCGGTCCTTGTTGAGGGCTTCCTGCTGCCCAACAGGACTTGTCTGACCTGATGAGAGCATCGTAACTCCACTGGGTTTAGCCATGGAGCATCCAAGCTGTAAGGTGGAGCGACTCCAGGTTCGGGTGAAGGAGGCGACCGCGATCCTGCGTGATCAAGTCCGGTAGTTGGGGCAACCTGAGTGGAACCCTCGTAGACATGTGTAGGAGAGACGTGTACCAGTGCTGTCGCAGACACGCAGGCGCTATCAGGATGAGTCGAGCGTGATCCCTGCGGGCCTTGAGGATTACCCTGTGAATCAAGGGAATCGGGGGAAAGGCATAAAAAAGCCCGTCTGCCCAAGAGAGGAGAAAAGCGTCTGATAGGGACCCCTGACTGCGTCCCATGAGGGAGCAGAATTGACGACACTTCCTGTTCTCGTTGGAGACAAACAAGTCCACCTGGGGATGACCCCAGAGTCGGAAAATTGAGAGAACTATATCCCAGCGGATAGACCACTCGTGGCCCTGGAACGAGCAGCTGAGGGCGTCCGCGAGCGCGTTGTGCGTGCCCAGGAGGTAGGATGCTGTCAGGTGAATTACATTCTGTACGCAAAAGTCCCATAATGCGAGGGCCTCCTGGCAAAGGGGAGAGGAGCAAGCACCACCCTGTTTGTTAATATAAAACATCGTTGGAGTATTGTCTGTGAGGACAGAAACACACCTGCCTGCCAGCTGGGACTTGAATGCTATGCATGCGAGGCGTACCGCTCACAATTCCCTGACATTGATGTGCAGTGACAGATCCTCCCGCAACCAAAGACCTCGTGTTCTGAGGTGGCCCAGATGTGCACCCCATCCCCGATCCGATGCGTCCGTTACCAGGGATAGGGAGGGTTCGGGGTCCAGGAAAGGAACTCCCGCGCAGACCACCCGCCCGTCTAGCCACCACTGAAGGGAGTCCAAGACCGGCAGAGGTAACGTCACCACTAATTCTAGGGAGTCCCTGACTGGCCAATAAACCCGTGCCAACCAAGATTGGAGTGGGCGCAGTCTGAGCCTGGCGTGTCTCACCACGTAGGTACATGCTGCCATGTGTCCTAGTAATTTGAGGCAGCTTCTTACTGTGGTGGTAGGGTAACTTTGGAGGCCAAGAATGATGTTGGATATAGTTCGGAATCTGGCCTCTGGGAGATATGCCCTGGCTTGTGTCGAGTCCAGAACTGCTCCTATGAATTTGATTT